ACACCAAAAGTAAATATAATTTTGTTCATAGTTTGCCTAGTCATGTGGTAGTATGATAAACAATTTTGAAGTGTTGGTATCATTGGACATTCATTAGTTCCACAAGTTCGAATTTACCACGTATTAACAAGGCTGAGGAGATCTGCATACCTCACCGTACCCACATGCAAAATGTAAGGCCCTTCTTCCCTCAGAGTCTTCTTCATCCTTGTCAGATCCACCGTCTAGTGCCTTCTTGAGACCCTATTGCATGAATTTTAGAAGGCGACATCAGCATATCAAAATCAAAACCCAGTAGCAAGGTGTTAACTGTATTTACTGTGAAGACAGATAAATTGATGTTTAGAACAAAACATGCAATGTTGATGACTTTATCAAGGGGTGTACCCAGTGCAGAGAGCTCCCGCTCTGTGTGGGGTCTGGGGAAGGGTGTTAGTGGCAAGCCTTACCCTTGCCTGTGCAATGCGAGGAGACCGCGACTCGAACCCAGGACCTTCCGGTCACAGGCGGTAGACTCTACCGCTTGCACCAGGCCTGCCCTTTGTTGATGACTTTATCAAGATTATTAATAGAACATGCATCAATTTATGACCATGTGAACACTGAACATAATATTGCAGGTTCAAATATTAGTCCATGTCCATAAAGGCGATTTAAGAGCAAATCACGAATGACTGATAAGCAGAAAGATGCAGTGGTTGGTGCGCAAATCACATATATTTGTCTAGTGAATTTTTGAGAATCAGAAAGTCAATGACTAGGGGTTAACTATGTTGGCCCACAGTTAGCCTCCCGACCACCGAGATGGCCTCCAGATCACTCCGTTGGTCTCACAGGATCACCGGCTCACGACAGTGAACCACTCCAGCCGATCTTGCCGAGCACCAGCTCAGGCGAGTGGAGCACTTGACGGTCTCGCCGAGCACGCGCTAGTGTTGCCGAGCACCCACTAGCCGTGCAGACCACGTACCGGCGTTGTCCGTACCCACACACTACAGACGAGCTTAGAAGAAGAAGGGAGAACAGAGCAAGCACGCACAATACAAGACAATAGCGTTGGCCGAGGTCCTGTCTGTGTGATGGCAAATCTGAGCTCTCTTTACTGAGTTGACATACATGTCTATTTATACAACTCTAACTATCTAGTCCATGTGCAGCGCCCATGCTGGCACAGTAACTAGATAACCTGACAGGGCTGACTCTGCGCCGGCCACTGCCTGTTCCTACAGTGCTGCAGGTGAGCCGTGCGGCGCCTGCACCTGCAGCGCCTACTGTATCACAGCAGGGGGCAAAGTCGGCGCTGCCTTCCCTTGCTGTGTTCACACACAGCAGGCGGCTAAGTCGGCGCTGCCTTCCTCTGCTGTGTTCACACAAGGTGGCAGTAGATTAGCTAACAAACTAGTCTGCCCTAATGTCTCAAGATAGCAATGTAAGCAAGTTCATCTTATTTGAAAACATCCACATGATTATAATAGCTACAAGAAACATCTAACCTAAAAACACCAACATGACAATGACAGCCACAAAATTCCTATGTTCCACTGGCATCACTAAGATTAAATAGATATATGGCAAACACCAAAAGGTAGTAATGGACATTGATGAAGTAGATTTGTAGTGTCACCAGCATATATAATATAAAAATATATGCAAAGTCCAAAACAACTCAATACAAAAATTAAAACCGAACATTCAAACCAATGTTCTCATTACCTCTTCATCACCAACGCTGGCAGTGTGATGGACGATGGATTCATCATCATCCCCACCTTCTTCCTCAGTTTCTTCAGTAGCAGAAGGTTCAGCAGAAGAACCTGCACCAAATGGGAAGCTAGCTCCCATTGCCTCACCAATCTTTTGAAGAGTATCAGGGTCGTTCCAGTACCTAGAGGAGGACAGCAAGGAATGTCACAAACAAACTCTATAAACAAAACATATCTGTAGTAGATATGACCTACTTCATCATTGCAGAAGGACCCCCATTCTCTAACTCATCAAGAATTGACTTCATAGCTGGATCTTCCTTAATGCGAGACATACGCTCTTCCAGCTGCTCCTTATGTGATGGACTACTAAAGGTTTCCAGCATACTGGACATAGCAGGATCCTGAGCCAAATAAATGAGACTTAGGGCACTGATAGACAAATAAGACAATGGAAACCAGCTGGGGGTTTTCCAATGGTACCTGCATAAGAGCATTCCCCAGACGCTCTGCCATTGTCATAAACTGGGGGTTTTCCATGACCTTTTGCATTGTTTCCATGTATTGTTGAGGGTCCAATGGGGGCATGCCCTGTTCGCCTGTACTATGAGCACTTTTCTGTAGCTGCTCAGCCATCCGGTTGAATGCAGGATCCCTTGCAATTTGATCTGCCATCTCCTTAATAGATGGATCCTGCACATAACAAGGTAAACTTTGAAGTAACCAGCGGGGTCCATCAAATAAAAGATAATGCAGATTCAGATAAAGCTAGAGTGCAAGCATGTAAAACTACAACAATGCATTGATACTCACTAAGTGAACAACACCATCATGTAAAAACATTTAGGAAGATCAGTATGTACTACAGACTTTATATGGCCATAGAGGGGCATACGTTGAGCAAACTTTGCATAGAAGCAAAATCAAAAGGATTTGAAAAGCCTGCTGGAGGAACCCCTTGACGTTCGTCGGAAAATCCTTCAGATTTTGAAGTTTTCTTCTCATCTGCAAAAGAAAAGGATAAGAACAGAAACACACATCATGTGGTAATTAACTATGACAGCAAAGCAAAATGAAACAACCATTGAAAGGAACTGAACAACAGTTTGGTGAGTTCATAAATAATCCATAGTTGAGTCAACATGCTATCATTGAACTTCTTTATTTTCACCTTATTAGAAATGGAAGGACACTACCTATATATTTTAAAAAGAAAAGGCAGACGGAAGTAATCTGGTCAAATGCACCAGATATCTGGTCAAACACACCAGATTTGACACCCGTAAACACTAGAATTCCCCTCACAAACCTAACACATCAGATTCGACACCCGTAAACACTAGAATTCCCCCCACAAACCTAACACATGAGGAATGTAATAAACAAATTGAGTTGAATAGACCACTTATTTTTTTTTTCTACTGCGACTGATCAGTGGGCAGCCAAATGAATTTGCAAATTCTCATCGAACAATTGCAGAAATATACTCTATTGCTACAAAATTAGTATAATTGACATCCTTTGCGTGCAGAGGCGGACTTCCCTAGGGCTGAGGGTACAACTGATCCGCCGATTTTCGGCAGACAAACCATTATCAGCAGCAGTAATTCAGCGTAACAAGCACCCTAACACTAAGATCGAGCTCGCGCGGGGTCCGAATCGAGCCAGAGGGGCAAATGAATTGGATTAGCACTCTACCAGACACAGCAAACAAATCCACAACTGACTGGATGAACTGCAGCAGGTCGATCCACAGAGGAAGACGCGGACTCGATTCTCCGAGCACAGCAAAGATCGGAACAGAGTAGAACACAAAAAATCAAATCAAGCGAGCGAGAGAGCCCCTCACCAGCAGATCCGGGCGGATCCCCACTCGACGCCATCCCGGTAGAGCGACGGAGGAGGGCGCCCGCTACTAGCAGGGGAGAATTCGAGGCGACTTAGCGCTTGCCCCGGTGGAAGCTGGTCCGGAAGGCCGTCCTCCGCCTCGGCGAACGGAGGAGGGTTCGGCCTCGCCCCTCGGCGGCGCTGCTGGACGGTGGCGTGCGGGAGGGAGTAGGGTCGTAGGGACTAGGGACGGACGAGACGAGGCACGACACGAAGCGGGCGTCGGGACTCGGGAGGTGAGCTGGGAGGTGTAGGTGGGCCGGGCCGGAGGCGAGTCTGAACGGCCCGAGGCACATTTGGCCTGTGGGCTGTTTGGCTAGATGGCCCATTTTGTCTTGCTCTCGTTCGTGTCGCGGCCGCAATGCGCAGTTGCGCACCGCTGTGGCTGCCTCTCTCTCTCCCCTCCACCTCCCGGACTCTGATGGCGCTCACCCGGTCGCCGGCTCGCCGCCGCAGGGCACCAGGGCCCGATGGCGGCTGGAGCGACCTGGTCGCTCGCGGCTCGATTTTAATCCGCGAGGAGGTGGTGGTTGCTCCCACTCGCGGCCCGCCACCTCCCGGATTAAAATCTCACATCGTTCCACGAATTAAAAGGTTCGGTTTTCCCATAATGCACAGAGGAGGTCTGATTTTATCCTTTATATTGTGAGGGTGAAGAAAACTGTTCTTGAGTTCTTGACCATCTATTTATTTTTCTTCAGTATTTTTTTGGGTACGGATGCACACAGCGACGGAAGAAGAAATGGGAGCTGCAACATTTCAGGCTAATGCTCACAGATGACAATTAAGAAAGGTGGCATCCTCAGAGCAGCCACAGATCGCTGGGTGTCCAGTTTCGTTACCCTCCCGGGAGCTGGGTGTCTGGAACAAGCAAAGGTGTAAGGCAAATGTCTCATCTTCCTCCTTATTCCTTCTCCGACCGGACCAGTTCCTTTGCTTTGGCTTCAGTCCTTCGGATGACAGGAATGCATGGTGCTTTAGCTTTAGCTAGGTAATAACTTTGATTAAAGCTACGAAAGCAGTGATTCTGTTCTATCTGCCGTGTGGAACAGAAAGAAACAAAACAAGCTTCCTGAGGTTTTCAGCTTACTGCCCTGTGTCGAGAATGCATTACTTTGGCATCTGTCCTTTGAGTGTGCTACCAAGATAAGATAAGAGGACGATGTTGCTTTGTTCCTCCTGTCACCTTGAAGCAGAAGATAGGAATGTTTCATATTTAATAAACCGAATTATCTTCTCTTGCTTTCCTTGAGACGCAGCAAGCGGGTATCTTTCCTGTTTCTTCAGCTTATTAGTTCGGATCATCGATCTCTTCTTTGCACATTGTGTTGCTACGTTTTCCTCAATTGCTTTATCCCCATATACTGTTCAACAACAACAGAGTGTGTGAGAGAAAGAAAAAGGGCGGTGATGGAAGCAACAGGGCTTAGCCTTGGAAAGTCTGTGCTGGATGGAGCTCTTGGCTATGCCAAATCCACCGTTGCGGAGGAGGTTGCCTTGCAGCTTGGCATCCAGCAAGACCAAGCTTTCATTAGGGATGAGCTTGAGATGATGATGGCTTTCCTGATGGCAGCACATGAGGAGCGAGATGAGCACAAGGTGATCAAGACCTGGGTGAAACAGGTCCGTGACGTGGCCTATGATGCAGAGGACTGCCTCCAGGATTTTGCTGTTCGCATTGGGAAGCCATCCTGGTGGCGCTTCTGGCACATCCCTCTCATGCTGCTGGAACGCCACCGTGTAGCCAACAAGATGAAGGAGCTTCGAGCCAAGGTTGAGGATGTCAGCCAGAGGAATGTGCGCTACCGCCTCATCAAGGGCCCTAGCTCCACGGCTACCACCACCACTGGACAATCCAACATGGCCAGCGAAACAATGTCTAGCACTGAGGAAGTGAGGAGGCAACACAAAAAAGCAAAACTCGATTTCATTCAATTGATCAACATGAAGGATGAGAACCTTAGAGTGATCTCTGTATGGGGAACAAGTGGTGTTCCTCAGGAGACATCCATCATAAAGATGGCCTATGATGATCTTGAGAGAAGAAGAAGTTTGAGTACCATGCATGGATCAGGATCATGCATCCTTTCATTCAAACAGAGTTTGTGAAGAATATCATCGAGTAATTCTATGTTAATATCCTAGATGAAGCAACAAAGACAAAGCAGAAGTTTAACTCCTGGGGCCCAAGATCTGTGGAGGATATGGATGATGAATGAAGATGATTTGGTTGATGAGTTCAAGAAAGTTTTGAGTGAGAAGTGTTACCTGGTCGTGCTTAGTGATCTCTCCTCTATGGAAGAGTGGGATCAGATCAAAACATGCTTCCCAAATAACAAGAATGGGAGCCGATTCATAGTGTGCACAGAGCATATCAAAGCGGCAAACTTATGTGTTGGGACAGAGGTTGCGCTTCTAGAGCACAAGCAATTGTCTGTTGATCAGACTCTTTATGCTTTCTATGAGAAGGTAACATTCAAAGCCCTGAAACCAGATAGCTTAGTCTACTTTACTGTTTTCTAGTTCAACTTCCCAGTTTAACTAAATCGCAGCTGATGTTTTGTTGGAACCTACAATGAAACTTATTTTCTATATTATCTATCGGCCTACCTTCTTAGCTATCTTAATTGTTGCATATCTATCACAGCCTCCCTCCGTCCATCAATGCAAGGCATATTTTGAATAGTGAAAAGCAAAATTTATTAAAAAAAAAGACCAACAACTAGCCAAATTATGTGTTTGTTTAGTGTATAAAAGTTGTATCTATAGATTTCTATTCAAAGTGGGGTTTAAGATAATATTAATTTTATAGCAGTTGATAAAATAAAACAATGTAAAACTAATAAGGATCAAAGTCTACTTTGTAAGACTTTTCCCATATCAAAATACACCTTAAATTGATGGACGGAGAGAGTACCGTTGAAGAAGCAAAATTTTGTTCTCTACATATTTTTTTTGATGGGTACCATTACAATTTTGCAAGTTTAGAGAAATACCATTACTATTCACCTATTTAGAAACATGCCATTATATTTCTTGTTCAGCTTGAATCGTGCCATTTTCTATGTATTCTACCATGTTGGGCCCACGCGCAGGTGACTAGAAGCCAGTGTATTCTCATATGTCCAAAAATACCCCTGCTTCTTCTCTCTCCCTCCACTCGCTAACATGTGGGCCCCACCCGTCAGCTTCTCCTTCAACCTCCAGCCGGCACACGGTGTTTGACTGGCGGCGCCGCCGTCGCGGACGCGCGCTCCCCCGGGCCTGCGAATCCAGCATCTCCTGTAGTGCCGCCGTCGCCGAGCCTCAGCGCTTGTGCCTGTGCAGGATCGAGCCGGCTGATGCTAGGATCGACACGATCGACGTGTCCGAGCTGCTCGCCGGCCTAGAGGAAGAGGGCTGCACGACAGAGCAAGGGCGGGAACGGCTGCAGAGCAGTCGCGACGAAGGCGAGGCTCAGTGGCCCGTGTCGAACGGGAGGGCGAGGAGCTTCCGCACGGTGGAGTTCGACGTGATGGTACTGAGCAGCAGATGCAGAGCAAGAGCAGCTCGTCGTCAGAACGATCGACCGCTCTGGCAACAGGCAGAAGGAGCTCGCTACAGCCACGGCGACCGCGGAGGCGGGGTCGAAGGCTGCCGCCGGCGCCAAGCGGAGCGCGAGGGCGCAGCATCTGGGCGAGCTGAATGTGCCGGCGGCCGCATCCTCGACGAGATCCTCGAGGCGCTGGAGCTGGAGGCCTCGGAGAAGGACGGCGTGGCGGCAGTGGTCCCTCAGCCTCAGGCCGACGCGGGCGCGGATTTGAAGGGCGCGGGCGCGGACGCTGCGGCGCTCCCGTCGCGGGCAGCAGCTCGCCCGACGGTGCGCAGCTACTGCATGCTGCTGGCCTGCCGCTCCTCTTGCTTCCTTTGCTTTGATCGGGGCCATAGCCCATATGCCACACAAGCACACACCGCCACAGCCCACAGTCCACAGGTGGCAGGCCACCCACTGCCTGCCACTGCCAGCCATGGACTCACGCCGGTGGCTGCTGCTCAGCAAGGGAAGAGGAGAAGAGGAGGAAGAAGAAGATGACAGGTGAGGCCTGCGCGTCAGTGAGAGGGAGAGGGGCTGCTGTGGATAGGGTGCTGAGGGCATTTAAGTCCATACGAGAATACGCGTCGTCATATATGCCTGTAGCTGGGTCCAGTTCATCCTCTTATTCTGTGGCATTCTTGTGGGAAGTGAAGAATTGTAATGGTATGCTTCAAAATAGACGAATAGTAATGGTGTTTCTCCAAACTTCGAAAATTATAATGATATGAATAAAAAAACCTAAAAATGTAACCTTTTGAAGATTCGACACACCATTAAGCGTTACCCTATGAAATGCAGAGCAACACCTAACCTGGATAGCTTGTGTTTAGGGTTCACAGGACGGAGCAGATTCAATAGAGGAAGCCTCTAGTTCAAACACTACGAGGACTATTGATAGTGAAACCTCTATGGATGGAAAGAGACTGACCCGCATGGAAACGACACTAGCTGCTTTTAAGGAATCTCAGCTCATTGGGCGAGCGAATGACAAATTAGAAATTATCAAAAAGATTTCAGATAAACATAGTCAAGAATTTGAGGTGATCTCTATCTACGGAATGGGTGGTCTGGGGAAAACAAATTTAGTCAAACATGTCTACCAAAGCCAAGAGCTCAGTGCTATGTTTGAGAAGCGTGCCTGTATCACAATCAAGCGTCCTTTCAATCAAAGTGAGCTCCTCAATAGCTTAGCTACACAATTGGGTGATAAGGAAGGGAATGGTGACAAATTGGCTGATCTTTTACAAGGGAAAAGCTATTTGATTGTTCTTGATGATATATCATGATGGGATATCATCCACCAAGGAGCAGAATGGGATGCTGCTAAATGTTTACTGTTCACGTGAACAGTGATTTTCCAACACAGCTGTTACAAGGAGCAGGATTATAGTAACCACAAGTAACCACAAGGGAAGATAATATTGCTAAACATTGTTCAAAGAAAGACAAACATATACAAGCTCAAGCTTCTGGAATACAAAGATGCGTATGACCTCTTCACAGAAAAGGTATGATAGAATATAATCGTGCCCACTTTATTTGACATGGAACTTATAGGCATGCAAAATTATTTGCGGGAAATATTTCCTTTTTGTGCATCATCCTTTAGCGTGTCCACGCACATAGCAACTTATCAATAAAGTCCCAAGAGTTTGTGCTGATACACTACTCATACTAACATAAGGCATATACTACTCAATGCAATAATCTATTTATGATAATTTTTTTTGTCATTTTATTAGGTGACTAGAAAGAAAAAGAAAAATAACCTAGAACTTCTTAATAACAATACTAAGCCTTTGATTTGGTAGAGACTTTGATTAAAATTGAAGCATAACCAAGAACCAACAGACCTAGGTGGACTTGAGCCTTCCTAATTACATGAGTGTCCATTTGCCAACAACCAAATTTAAAGGCCCAATAGGGATGTCAGTTTTTTTCTCCGTCCTCTGTGCTTGCCTAAGTTCTATAAAAGCAGACTCCCAAACATTACACTTTTACTCCCTGTGCTTCTTAGGCAAGTCAGGTTCCAAGAAATCTAGCTTTGAATTGAAGCGTGGTCACCATGTGAACTCCCATGGAAAAGCTGATTTTATTTTCCCAAAATATCATGCTTATCTTCAAGAATAAGAAATTCTATAGTCTATCAGAACCGCGCTAAGGAACAAATTGAAAAAAATCCCAATTATTTTATATTTTTATATGTAATGAAATCCTAAATTGAAACAAATTCAGGTGTTTGGGACAGTTGCATATATGGATAAGCAGTACTTTGAATTAGCTGAAGAAGTGAAAGTGATTCCGAAGAAATGCAATGGACTTCCTCTTGCGATAGTCACCATTGGTGGTTTCTTGGCAAAGCAACCAAAAAGTCACATGGAGTGGAGAAAATTAAATGAACATATTAGTGCTGAGCTAGAGATGAATCTAGAGCTCTGTAGGATACCAAATGTCCTCATTAGAAGCTATGATGGCTTACCTTATCACCTCAAGTCTTGTTTCTTGTATTTGTCCATCTTTCCTGGAGACTACAATATTAGTCGGAAACGTTTAGTGCATCGGTGGATTGCAGAAGGCTACCCAAGGGAGGTGTGTGGCCAGTCTATGATAGAAAGGGGTGACCTGTACTTTATGGAACTCATTGACAGGGGCATGATGCTACCATCGCAACAATCTCCCTTCAGTAGGAAAAAAATCAACTCTTGCAAAGTCCATGATCTCATGCGTGAAATTAGCATATCAAAGGCAACGGAGGAAAATCTTGTGTTTAGACTAGAAGAAGCACTACTGGAATCGCGGGATTTGCCTAGTGCCGCAGAAACACTAGGCAAACAGTTTGCCTAGTGTCACACTAGGCAAACAAGGGTCGGCAGAGACGGGCTAGGCAAAGAGCACTTTGCCGAGTGTCAAATCTCGGACACTCGGCAAAGTGTTTGCCTAGTGTCAAGGACACCACTCGGCAAAAGTATTCCACTGACGGCGGAAATCGTAACGGACGTTTTGCCTAGTGTCGGAGGTCTGACACTCGGCAAAGTATGCAAGGTTTGCCTAGTGCCAGGCATCCGACACTAGGCAAATATGTCAAGCTTTGCCTAGTGTCAGGCCGCCTACACTAGGCAAATATGTCAAGCTTTGCCTAGTGTCAGGCCTCCGACACTAGGCAAACTGCCTACTTTGCCTAGTGTCAGTTTCCTGACACTAGGCAAAGCCTGTTCCCAGGTGTGCCACGTGTGGCCCCTTTGCCTAGTGTCAGACCCCTGACACTAGGCAAAGTAATCAGAAGCTGAATTTTTTTTTGATTATTCTATTTGCGACACAAATATAAATCATATTCAAACACCACAAATATATCACATGAATCATAAATAAGAACCACATGTTCACATATATCACATGTTCATACCAAAAGTCCAAATGTACCACAAGTTCACAAGTTCATAAGTGCACAACCAAATTTCTTAACAAAGTTCACAACAAGTGATCACGACGATTGTCAAGGGTGAAGAGGCCGTGGTTTGATGCTCCAAAGCGACCCTTCCACTTGATTCGGCTCAAGTTGTGGTGCCATGACGCCCAATCTATGAAGCCATGACCCTTCCACTTGATTCGGCTCAAGTGCGTGGTGCCATGACGCCCAATCTATGAAGCCGGTGACCTCCAATTTGATTCGATGCCACGCTCGATTGATCTTGAAAAAATGAAAAGGATACCGTCAATAAAAAATTTTGGCAGAACCTCCCCGCACGGAGAGGTTTCCAAACCCCGCAAGAAAACAAACGCACACGATGACCGTCAAGAACATACATATCAATACACCGCCACCACACACCACCACCACCCGAACACCACAATCGCCACCACCACACCACAACAACAACCGCCGTCACCACCAACACCATATTGTATGTTTGAGATTGCATATTTTTCTAGTGTGCCCTATGTGAGGTTGGAACATAATAAGTAATATATTGGTACTCATAGGAGTAGTTGCTTGAGGAAGTGGCAAGACTAGGCTAGTCTGGCATGGTCCGCCCCATAGCGGGCGCCAAGAGTGGACACGAACCCCACCAGCTCTCTATATCTCGTCGTTGGGCCTCCCGCTCTTCCACCGCCCTCGCTTCCATCTCCTCGCGAAGCCTCCTTTCTTCTAGCAGTTGGGCCTACAACATTTGACCCCCAATGTTAAAGTAAGGCAAAGGTATGTAAAAATCAATAAGCAACGAATAAAATAGAAATTACACGGAGTTCATTGACAAGGTGCGGCGATGGTTGGCCGTGGACGTATGGCGGGCTTGCTTTCGTTCTCGTGCTCGGATCCGGGAGAGGGTGGAGTAGAGGACGTGTCGATGACACCATCACCCATCCAATACCGCCCATGCTTCTTGCCACCTCCCACCCTCATGACGATCTCTCCGTCAAAGTCATGGGCGCTCGGATCGTACTCTGGCCCATGGACCGCCCTTGCCATCTCAAGATATCTTGACCGAGAGGCGGCTATGGACGGTCGTGTTGCTGTATGCCAAAGGAGGGTCATCCGGGTTGTAGGAGACGTCGGATTTCGCCTTGCCCTTGTGGGCCATGGCATATGCCATGAACTAGGTAACCGGCTGCCCACCATGCGACGATGACTGCGAGAAAAATAGCAAGATGATTAGAAATCACGCAACATACAACGTTATAATAAAAAAATGGATTCTCGTACCCAAGTTTGCGCGTATCCGTTGAGGCTGCAGTTGCCTTGATGGTGTGGTACACCTATCATCTGCAAATGGCGCTCCCAACAAGCTTTGTGCTAGGCAATCCATTCAGGGTCCAACCACTTGTCCACCATCATCTCCCAGATCGGGATCCCGGAGCACCAAAGACGGAACCACCTACAAGCCATGAAGTATATGACATATAAGAAGTTAAATTAAAGCTATCAAGACTACATTATTAATGTTCAATACATTTACCTTCATGAACTCTTCCTTGGTCAAGTGCCATATCTCTTGCTTCTTTCTTCGTGACCTTCGTTGCAAGGTAGGACCCGTGGTATGTTATGATGGCACGGACGGCGTGCCTCGTAATGCAGCTGCTTCACGAGTCTTTTACATGCTTTGGTTAGCACCACATCCGCCGTGTCCTCAAAGCCTTCCTGAAGTCTGAAGAAATCCTGCATATACACACGAAGTATTCATTCATTATTTCAAAAAATATCCAATGAATGCGATGTATTGAATAATGTAGTGCGAGGAAGACTTACCTACCCCAGCCGCCTTCACCCGCTCCGCCTTGTTGGGGAATGCCCTTAAGCCAATCAGACCAGAGCATCGGGGCGTTGGCGTGAGTGGGCAAATGTGTAGGGTGGCTCTCTCTCTCGCAAACCTGGACCAAGCTGTGGAAGTGTTCCTTGACAGAAGGCCAAGGATGCCACCGACCTTATGCGTGTGTGACATCCTGCAGACTCTACAACCGTCCGGCCCTGCGCACAAGTTATTAAGAATAATAGTTAGCTTCTAGTGTGATTTTTGAACATATCATTTGAAGTAGTGAAAACATGTTAATTTACTTACGTTTCTCCGTCGGGTGCAATCTTCGGGCGTCTGTAAGAAGGTATCGGCCGCGTAGGGAGGCTCGTGGGACCTCGCAAGTACACACTCGGCGTACCAGAGGAAGCCAAACCCGCTGCTGCCTCCTCCTCGACCTCCTCCTCCTCCCCATCCTCATCCTCCTCCCGCTCGTCCTCCACCCTCTCGTCCTCCTCGTCCTCCACCTGCTCCTCCTCGTCCTCCACCCGCTCGTCCTCCTCCTGCGGCAGCGGCAACTGCTCCTCCTGCGACTGCCTCCTACGACCGGTGCTGCTCCTCCTCCTCCTCCTCTGCGACGGCATCGATAGGTCCTCATCTGCAGTGGTGTCTATAGGGCGTGTTCTTTGGTAGATCGAGCTGACCATCCTATTTTGACGCCCGCCCGCCATCTTTGATCAATCACCTGCAATCAAAAACAAAAAAACAATGTTGTATTAGAAATAACATAATTACATAAAGGCAAAAGGAACAAACTAAAATTACAAAATAACATATTATTACATGTATTAAAATAATCTTCATGATCGGGATTATTTGGATCATAAGTCTCATCATCACTATCAATCATGTCGAAATACTCGACACTATCCAAGAAGGGGATGTTGTCAACATTATCTTGGCCTAACTGTAATCGGTCAAGCATTTGTAAGTCCTTCTCATTTAGCACCTCGTCTCCAGCGTTGCCTGCATCAACCCATTCATTGTCTACTTCCATT